CCGGATCCTTGCGATAGGTTACATATTTTAAAAAACTTGAAATTAACATCTTTTATGGTTAATTATTTTTAACAAGGCATTTTTTTTACATTCAAGTGCCATTGGATAATGATACATTGGGCATGTATAACATCAGTATAGCCTTGACTGAACCAATACTAGATACATAATTATATCGAACAGTAGAGGTAGATTTAGACTTGGTTTATTTTTATTCAAGAGGATATGTCTACAATAGGCACATTTTACATTAGTATTTCACATGTTGATAAAAACGATAGAAGTGCATCATTTAGATTTTCCTATAAAATACTGCTTCAAAAGAAAAATGTTGATAAAGTTCTCAGTGATTTAGATTTGACCATTTATCTGATGAATTAAATAATAATAATAATAATAATATTTTGTTCCACAACAATTTATTATTTGCTATGTAAATATACGTAATATCAGATCATGTATATCACACTTGCCAACAACTTCAATTTATAATTATTTCGATGTTGGTTGTCTGATGTAATACTAAATACCGTCAACGTAATTATTCGATGTACTACAGACCTTCCATTATAGACCAGTTCACTTTCATTATAAACTTATTATTAATATTACTGACGTTGATTGTATTCTAATATGAAAAATATGCACATTTAACGTATCTTTTATTATATGAGGACAAATAAAAATAATCACACATCGAAAACCTCCTTGTATTTATCTAATTTCTTATAAATGGAATCCATTGATTCTTCCCGCCGATGTTTTGATATAAAAAGTAGGTTAAAGTCACATTAGTCGTGTCATGCCACCTTTAAGAGCTTTTACTAAACATTAAATGAAAGCAATTATTTGTTAATACTGTCTGTAAATACAGATTATGTGTCGCGAACTGTTTCAGAAAATCAGAAAAATATAAATGTACTAATTCCTCGTATTTGAAATAATGAAGAATGTGTATGTGAAACCATATGTAAATCCATTTGTATGAGAACGTATGAGGACAAAATGATTGACCAGTGAGCAGCATTTGGAAAAAAAATAATGACCTATCATTTCATGCAACTATTTCTGACACAACTTTGTTACTTTAAATACAATAACGATTTTTATATGTTGTTCTTTTACTATGATAAAAAACGAGGTAAGATGGAGTACGATATGTATTTCATATAGATATACTGGATTCTGAAAATGAAAACAAGGCTATATTGGGTACGATACGATACGCATTTGATACGGATTAAATGGACTCTGGATATGGAAAAGGGGCTAAATTGATAATATTGTATCAAAAACTATATAATTATTAGTTTTATGCCGAAAATTGTAAAAATAAACATAATTTATTGAAATTTATAATTATCAGGTAATGTAACTGAAATACTGAATTCCGTGGACAGTAGTAAATTTTTGAACTGATTATACACATGAGTTGATAAATAAAGTATGAATAGTTTCTAATAATTTTATAAAAAGATAGTTTGATATGAGCTTTTAACAATAAAATTGCATTGAATATGATGATGTACAAGGAGAAATATCAATAACAAAGATAAATGTTCAGTTCTGTTCTGATAATTAATCGTTGGCACCTTATATCAACCTTAAATCTCAAAATGAGATTGACACGAGTATATTAAAACTACGTGATTGGTAGTATCAAAACGATTTTGTTTCCCTCGTGAAATATTTTTTAACTGCCGAAGGCATCTTGGTAAAATTTTGCCATTAATGACTTTCCCGAACAGCCATATGGTGCAAGTTTTAAAAAAAGAAATAGTCGATTTACAAGCACATATTCAGTAAAAGAGTATTTTAACATAATTTTTATAAAATTTATCAACACTGTAATTGTATTGGTTCAACAATTTTACGTATTATTCTCGAAAGAGTTGTAACAAAGAATGTCTTTGTTATTTAACACACATGAATATTGCACGTTAATTTAATAAAAAGTTCCGAACAAAACATTATTCCGCTATTTTAAGAAGGGTTTTATCCGTTTAGCAATGATTTTGTGCATGCGCTATTCGCTTTTATGGCAATTTACTACCATATTAATTTGAAAGTGTTCTTTTTGAAAATTCAAACGGTAGTTTTTGAAGCAGGTATATACCTTTATACACTTTAAATTGTTACATGATATATTAAAACAAGAGAATCAACATTTAAGTTATCATATATCATAAATTTCAGAGTACTCCTTATTTGTAATGCAAATAAAAATAAAGGTTTTGAAATAGCATTTTTAAGCGGTTTGATCAAATAATACGTCTCTCCTTTATAGCGGTTTAAATCGTTTTTCTTTTCTAATTGGCGTCTGATTATTACATAATAAAGACATTATTTAAATAATAATTAGCTTTAAATTCTTCTGATTGAAAATACAAAAAAAAAAACGTTCACGTATGCTGTTTATTGCAGTTGTACCTAATGATCAACTGGTAATATATTTTGCTTGCCCAATAGCGTACTCAACTACTTTTATTAAACAAATCATTTGATATATGATAAAACAATTCGACAATTTCTTTTTTCAAATTAAACATTCTTGTATCAGAAATAGTTAAGTGTTATATCAAATGAGATCGTGAAAATTCAACAATCTTATTTTAAGTTAAACAATTTTGGACTATGGAAAGATCAACACATTTAAATGTAATAGTTAAGTATAGTAATCTCTTTTAAGAAAGTAAGACCAGAATAGTTGTTTCGCAATCTAGATTTCGAATTACAATATGTTATTTAAAATATTGTCTAATTTAAATGTGATTTATGATAAAAGACTGAAGTATGTGAACGTGTTTAAGAAAAAATAAACCACAAAATTTGCTCCTTTTTGTATTTTGATAATGAAATCCCCTAAACTTTGAGTGGACTGCTCCACATTCATAGCTGGGCAAATCCATTTCACAAATTCAGCATAAAACAATGTATAAAAGGCGACACTAAATTCACAGATATATAAATTTACATTTTAAGATACGTTTACATGCTTCATTTTAGATACTTCTAGAGGCGAAATATGTATAGATATTGCCAGCGTTATCACTTTTAATATAAATGTATTCAGGGAGCTGGATGCATTACAAGATTGAAATGTATTTATTCCGAGAGGCGCACAACGTGACATTTATTTTAATTTGTGTTCATTTTCACTTAAACTGTCAACACATTTGTCGTCAGGTTAATGTCTAGATAATATTTTACTTTGAATAGACAATTATGGTTATCCCAAATGACCGTTATCAAAAGTACGTTTATACAATCACTTAAACGTTGTTTCCAAGGTGACCAGGTATATTATGTAAATTTGTCTTTGATGAAGATCAGCTGTTCAAAAAATATATTATATATATTATCTTGAATATTCTTGTAAATGGCATTTGCTATACTTTATACTCGCGAATTATTATCGTTTGATGTTGATAGTTTTAGTGACAATATACAGGAAAATAAATTGTCATGTTGTATGCCACAAGGGAATAAATCCATGTTCTGAACTATATTTGGGCAGTAATTCTGAAAAATTGGAGAAATGTTTGCCCTTGGGAATATTAAATAAATGAGCAACAAAATAATTACGATCAAGTTTATGATACCGTTTGGCCAGCACATTAATATGGAAAATTGTATAGTAGAAAACCGTTGCCCTTATATTTAAAACATAGTTTTCTTAACTTAAGTGTAAATCTAAAATATTTATCAACAAAGATTTGTACATTTGTACTTTCTAGATTCAGAATGTTAAACCGACTATGGTCCGCTACTGTCTATCAAACCAAATCTGCAACTTTTAAAATTGTTTCTGTTTTGGCGTTCTTAAGGGGTTCTTGTTTTTTTTCTTATATATGTAACACAAATCCATCGATATTAATTTCTCTCGAATAAACATTGATATATTTTCAATGTACATGTTTTATCAATATCATGTTATTCGTATAAGGCTTCCATTCATATTACATTTTTTCAATTTCATGAACTATGTTTATGCTGTCTTTGCAATATAGAATAAGTAGCCGTTAACGACACTTGTATCATAGTTTGGAGACCTTTCTGTTGAAAATGTGTCAGGGTTAAATCGTATACATATACATGCACAGTGCGTTAACTGGAGTGCGGGTATTAGTTACCCGCACTCCAGACTATGTCCATTGATTGGCTCATTTTTGCTGGGGTTTACATATTGTGACGGCAGTGAAAGTGAAATCGACAGAAATGTCATATTTAGATGATCGTTCATTGGTTCATTTTTGCCGGGGTTTCATATTGTAACAACAGGGAACGTGTTTTTATGTTTGACTATGATGCAAAAGAGAAAGAACACCAAAACACTCGGTAATCTGATTAATACTCGGGGGGCTACGCCCCCTCGTACAAATCAGATAACCTCGTGTTTCGGTGCTCTTTCTATTACTAATCAGATGTTGAAAAACTAATACCAGTTTCATAATACGTACATTAATAATGAAGAACATTGAGTTTTTAATCCATATTTTAGTCTTGAAACAATTTATCGGGTAAACAATGCACTTTTAAAGCACGATTCCACAGACAGTTAAACTTTTAATCGGCGGAAATAAATCATATAAATTATTTGTAGATGCAGTTTATAGAATGAGCTAATGTGCCATATACAGTATCAGCAGTAGCAAAGAGAACTAAACACATAATTTCAAACCAATCAATTAAAGTTATTAGAATGAGATTGTATGAATGAGAATGAATGCATATTTCATTGTGAAGTTTAATATATCAAGTTCATACGTAAAGTTGAACACGCGTTTTGCATGGTTAATAACACTTTTATTTATTTCTTTTTCCATTCACAAAATAAAAAGGTTTTAGAAAGTTTTGTGCATAAAGCAGAATTCTGTAAGAAGTTAATTTCACAAAGTCAAGGTTAAAGATGTTCACTGAAGATCTTTGGTATTGTGAACTGTGATCAATGAGTTTTAATTTCGCCAAATCCTGAAAAAGTTGCAATTAATTAAGTGAAGATGTACAAAACTGTATTTGTAATTAAATGAAATAGCTTTAAGTTGTCAGATATGTGTATATTAAGTCAAGCAAATCGTAGAAGATTGAACTTTATTTAGAATTAAATAACATATATCAAAGATAATAGTTATGTCATTTTTATGATGAAATAAATTAAAAATAAATCCATTATTTCAAATAAAGTCCATTGATTTCGCCACTTTGTTAAAAAAAAAGAGTTCGTCTTCCTTGTCCAGGAAATTAAAGAAAAAAAATATGTTATGTTTCAATCTTTGACACTTTCCTCGTATGTTCCAAGTCCCAACTGTTCACGCATATGCTGTGGAATCAACAATCTAAACGGATCACATAGGGCATTTCTTCTACTGTAAAATCTACTGCATTTAGCAGCTTCAACATCCTGTATAAAATTTTCGCGAGAGAATTGCCGGCTCACTTTTCTCACTTGCATTATTGTATTGTAATTTTGACCTTCATGTTTTTCATCTTTGCAACATTTTAATTCTGCTTCCGTAATAAATGTTCCAGTTGAATGTCTTCTTGTAAGAGAAAACGTTTTGTCTGTGCAAGCAGGTATATCAGAAAATGCTTTTTCATGTTTTGTATCCACTACAGATGGTACCTTGCCTCCACCTGCACTGAATTTGTTTAAATTTTCTATTCCCATCAAATCCATCATAGATAGTTCAGTTATAGACTCTTTAACTTTACATAAATTTACGAATTGTTCTATCCAGATTACTTATTTCTGTGAAACATAGTCACATATCCTAATGTTTTCATGCTAATACCTTGTTTTCCTCAATTCCTTTGTTCACTCATCAAGATGCATAGCCGATTTACAAGATTGCATTTCTCTCTTTCAAATGTTTATATTGAAATAAGGCAATAGACAAGACTCATTACAAATCTCTGTAGAGAAGTTTACATAGTCTAATTAGATTTGACTGTTCTATGAGAGTAGACAACGTTTACTACATATTGATATACAATATGTGGTAAACAGAGTACATCGATCTGCATTGTAATTTTCTAAGCACTTCACTTTGTTAACATTATTTGTTTCATTTAAAAACCACTGTGAAATGTGACTTAGAACAGACTTCATATTTTACAAACGTTTTATATTTTTCAGCGTCATTAGTTTTCAGAATGCCAATATAAGCAAGGATGAAAGAACAATGTGTTTTCGTTTTCATCCTCAGTTACACTTGATACTTTTGGAACTGTATTGCGTTCATGTAATCAATTTTGTTATAGTCATTAAAAGGTTAAGATTTTACAAACGATTTATTGAATTTTGAACTCAGATAAGGCTAAAATTATTTAAAAAAATTGTCAACATGTTTTGTCTTTGAATATCAAATGAGTATTCCAAATGAGCGTTCGTAGCTGCTCATATAAAGTACGTTTATAAAATCAATAAAGCTTGTTACCTTGGTGTCTATATATACTTTGTTAATTTGTCGTTTTCTAAATTTTATTACATGTATTATTATTTTTTAAAAATAAATATATTTATGAACTTGAATATCTTGCAATGGACATTTGCTTTTGACAAAATATTATATTAATTCAAATGAAATAAAATTTATAAATATGAATAACTAAATTTGATGTTGACAGTTTTATTGATCATGTACAGTAAAATAATTTGTCAAGTTGTATGCCATGAGGGAATAAATCTATAATCTGAACTGTATTTTACAATAGCACTGAAATTTAGAATGTGTTTTCAAAAGGAATGATAAATGAGCTACAAAATTATTATGATAATCTTGATGACATTTTAAATATCAAATATTGAAAATTAGAGAATATGTTTTCAAAAGGAATGATTAATGGGCTGCAAAATTATTATGATCATCTTGATGATATTTTTAACGTCAAATATTTATTAGAATAGATTTGTTTTTATTTTAAGTTCCTTAAATGTTGTGTTTAAATGCTGAAAATCTGCTTAGGTCGATGCTAGGGGCCTGGACGGTACCTTGCAATTATCACTACTGTCAATGAACGAGCTCAATCAAACAGAACCTGCAACTTTTAAATTTTTTCTGTCTTGGGCGTTCTCTGGGAATTCTGTTTTGAAATTTCTTTATTTTGTAATAACAAGTTTATACATGTATTTAACGGAGACAATGTCATCGATTTTTATTTCTCTTGCATGCTTAGATCTTCATATATTTTAAATGTACCTGTTTTGTCAATACTATATTATTTGTATAAGTGTTCTATATATATTACCTTTATTCAATTTTCATCACGCCTTAGCAATATAGAATAAGTAACTGTTAGCAAAACTAATCAGATGCTGCATAACTAAAACAAGTTCTACAATTCATACATTAATAATGAAGAACATTAACAGGTCTGGAACAATTTATTAGGAAAACAATACACTTTAAAAGCACAATGTTACAGTCAGTAATAATATCAGTCAACAGTACTAAATACATGATTTGAATCAATCAAATTTAATTAAATGTTAATAGAGTGAGATTGTTCCGGAAAAAGTTTCAATTCATAGTCAAGGTGTACATTAAAACAAATCTTTATTTGTAATTAAAAGAAAAACACTTTTAGTTTATAGATGTGAATATATTAAGACAAGTGGAACAGTAAAAGACTTATTTCTATTTATGATTAAATAACATACCGGGTATGTTAAAAGTAAAATTTGTCATTGTTATGATGAAAAAGATTTAAGATAAATCCATTATTTCAACCCTTCTTCTTGGCCTTAACACTTTTGTTCGTTTCTTAGTCTTTATTTTATCTCAAAGATAAGTATATGTTGTTGTAGTCATTTTCACCACTTTTTCAAAAAAGTAAAAATTCATCTTCCTGGTCCAGCAAAGTAAAGAAAAAATATATTTCAATCTTAGACACTTTATTTCTCACTGATAGTTTTTGCTGCTCAACATAACTGTGTTCCAAGTCCCAACTGTTCACAGCTTTGCTGTTGAATCAACAATCTAAACGGATCACATAGGGCATTTCTTCTGCTGTAAAATCTGCTGCATTTAAGAGCCTCAACATCCTGTATAAAATTTTCGCGAGAGAATTGCCTGCTTAGTTTTCGCGTTTGCATGACTGGATTGTGATTTTGACCTTCATGTTTTTCATCTTTGCAACATTTTGATTCTGATTCCGTGATAAATGTTCCAGTTGAATGTCTTCTTGTTAAAGGTAACGTCTTATCAGAGCCATCTTTGTCGTGTTCTGTATCCACTACAGATTGTGCCTTGCCTCCATCTTTGTTGTACTTGTCTAAATTTTCTATCCCCGTCAAATCCATCGAAGAAAGCCCAGCCATAGACTTATTATCGTTATGTAGGTTAACGAATTTGCTATTGTTCTACCTAAATTACGAACAACTTTTATGAAACATAGTCACACAAATGTTAAAATGCCAATATATTGCTTTCCTTAATTCCTTTGTTCACTCATCAAGATGAATAACCGATTTACTGTATTTCTTTCTGTCAAATATTTATATTAAAACAGAAAGATAGACACGACTCATTATAAATCTCTGTAGAGAAGTTTACATAGTCTAATTAGATTTGACTGTGACAACGTTTACTACATATTGATATACAATACGTGCTAAACAGAGTCAATCGATTTTTATTGCTATTTTCTAAGCACTTCATTTGTTAACATTATTTGTTCACATTGAAATGTGCCTTCGATCAGAATTAATATTTTACATACTTTTTCGTGTTTTATACTTCCGCGTCATTATTTTTCTGATAGCCAGTAAAAGCAATATTGAAAGAACATTGTAACTGTTTTCAACGTCAGCAATGTAATCGATCCTGATACAGTTGCTTTCAAACTGCACATAAAATGAATTTTGGTACATGCTTTAGTAAACTAACAGTCTAAATATTGAAGTTCTTGGTATTGAATTTCGAAAAAACGATCTTTTTACTTAGAATTATTCAAAATAACAAGTAAATGATTTGTTTGCTTGCTTCCGCCAGTGTAATAAAACTGTAATGACTTTTCATTCCACAAAATGCATCCACTTTAATTTATCAAGCTCCCGCCAGAAAAAAAAGCAATGTCATCATTGTACATGTAAATGTTTGATTTTTTTTCAATCAGTTTACAAAGATTGGTATATGTAATTTTACAATCATAATTAAAACGTTATTGGTTGCATTATTAAATAAGAAAGTCGATGGAAATCGCCTTTCATGATTTATATATCATGGTAAGTAAAGTATAAGAAACTTCAGTTTTATGCATACGTTTAAAATATATGGTATATATAATGCTGTAATATAAAACTGACTCTATGAAACATCAAAAGTAATGCTATGTTACATACCCTGTATCTGTACTCAAGTTATTATGGTAAAAATAATAAAGTTTATTAGGTCTATTAGGTCTATTAGCAATGGGTGTGTCCTCAATTAAGATTTTATTGTGTGATCTTATCATATATAAAGCTAAAATAGTTAAACTATGATTTATGGATCACTTTTATTTTGAAAAATTTTAAAACAGCAAGACAACGAAGGACTTGGATTTGAAAATATTTCATCAAAACAATGAGTTGTCACAATTAAACAAAATTAAATAATGTGGTTAACAAATACGTGTTCTTTTAATAAAAAAAACAACCCTGATACAATTTCCTACCCTAGAGAGCTTCTTAGCAATGCTTATATTCTATTTAGTCTGGAAGTCTTTAAGCTCGCATGATTTATACCACGGCGATTATCATTTGTCCATGCCATCAGCTAAACTGGTGGTTGCTGAAGTCTCTCCTGTTAATAATCATCAATAGACGTTTCAATATTTAAAGAATATATTTGCTGCTTTATTTTGAATATTAATGATTATAATGATTATAGTAGAAAATAAACACAAACAAACTTGCTGATTGCATAACTATAAATAATGATTTGAAGATCAAACTTAAAACTGATGCTGTTATATAAAAATAGACATCCAATTACATTGTTTATACGACCAAGTTCAATTCAAAATTGATTGTTTTATTGTAGAAACATTTGGTACTTTGTCACCATAGTAACAACATATAGTCAGTTAAACTTTTGTCCAACAATAATTACTGCCATGTAAGGTAAGATAGATAATCGTCTTTCTGTAGCTTGATAATGATTTGAAATTGAACACTGCCTTGATAGTTTCCTATTTAACACAAACGAGGTTAGAATGTATAAATAACATTGTGCACGAACATAAAGAAAATTTATTCTCCTTAAAATAAATCAATTTGTCTTTACAAACTCTATATGTGAAAGTACTATTTAAAAACAATTATACTGCTGTTAATTCGCTCTTTAGTAGTTAGTAATGTGAAAATGTTCAGTCCTTTCGTATGGCTGGCTATACCAGCCCTCAACACAAGCAAAATAATTTGTTTTTACATATACTTTTCACGGCACCGCATGATTATAAATCCATTTAAACAAACAAACATCAACTTTGCATATGTGTTTAAACGTCTACGAGTAATTTGCACATGTTTTCTTTGCAAATTTTATTGACCACTTCTTTTTAAGAAAATATGCCGTTATTTTGAAACGACCTTTTTGTTATTGTGAAAGAATAAATAAATACATTATTATGTCAATGATAAAAAAGTTAAATTGAATATTGCTTAAGGGATGAGACAAATTATCATAACTGATCAAGTTAATCTGAGGCGACATCAATGCAACAAACGATTGTAATCACAAATTTGTTTGCTGATCGTTTAACACTAATTAAGCAATGTAATGTTCTTCAGAGTCATATGTTTGAATTCACTCTCACCACTGATCCTAACCATATAAGCGAGCAGATATATGATATATTCCTTTCATGTGTTGATGAAATATATTTACACATGAAAGAAAAAACATACTAGCATATTAAATGAACATTCAATTGTATTAAATTAACTGTGAAAATTGCAGCAAAGATAGAGTGTATTCTCAAGTAACATATTGATAAGCAGTTTTTTCGTCTTTTATATGCAAATGTACTTCACATTATTCATACACCTGTTATTATCATTTGAAAGAGTGATGGGGTTTATTTTTGCCGTATGCCAGGTCGTGCATGACAGTATCATCCTGCTTATTGTTAATTTTTTATCATTTGTTTATGTGACGCTTGTTAGAGGAAGTACTTATTCTTGACACACAACGAATACATCAAATGATATAAATAAACTAAAATGATCTTCGTTCAAAACATCATGCCGTATGCTGTTGCAATAGCCGTCAATACAGGATTCTAATAGAACTATATCATTAGGGTAAGAAATGAATTTAACAATGCCTAGTTAAAAAGAATAAACCGTAAAAGATGTTATTTTCAATAAAAAAAATTTATATGAAACCTATC